TTAGCTTCGATTCGTGGAAGAAATTTTAATTAAGGGTTAAGCATCTTTAAGAGTACAAGTTGTCAGACAATGGGAAATGTATATGTGGGATACATCACTGTCTCTTCTTTGTAGTTAGACTTGGTATCCACCCAATCATCTGTTTCTTGTCACGTAGAAACGTGATTCTGGAGTCAACATTGGCCCTGCCTAGTCTCTGTGTTATTCTTACAATTATTACTGACAAATTTCTTCAGTGTTTTATGTTTGTAGCTGGTGTGTTGCTGAATACTTTAATCCTTTTTCCTGTCTGCTGCAGCATCAGTGAATGGCAGGAAATACAAGTCCTTACGAGTGATGAGTCAGAAATTTGTGATGCTGTTTCTTGTATCAACACCTCAAATAGTGAGCCTTGAAGTTGCTGCTAAAATCCTGATTGGAGAAGATCAGTTAGAAGACTTAGATAAAAGCAAGTTTAAAAGTAAGTACAACAGCAAGTGTAAGCTAAATGAATTATTCCAGTACTACTTCATATAAGGAAAAATACTGTCTTATTTTTCCTGCCACAAATGTTTATTTGAGCCTCCAAAAACTCACTAAATACCTTCTGCAGTTTATAATTTTTGTACGGCTATTGATGCATAATGCCCACTGAGAGGAAAAGTCCATTAAATCCTCCCTCCTGAAGTATTGTCACAAGCCTCCATATTAGTAACAATTTCTCTTTCCTCAAGCAGCCTGTCAAGGTTTTCAGCGTCATTTCGCCAAAGATGCCCCCGAATCTGAATTCTGGCCACATAAGTAACTTGGTAGAAGTCTAAAGAAATTCTGTGAAAGTCCTGCGACCAACTTGCATGTCAGAGGAAGTGAAACCCTTTGCTCTAACTGCCAATTATTTCTTCATTCTTTTACCCTTCTCTCAGTTCCCTGCACACTTCCTCCCCTTCCTCTCCATTCAAATGAAATGGTTTTTCTAGGTCTAGATCAGTAGACATATAATAATTAAAAATTTGCTGCTTTTGAGGGATAGTTGTGAGTTTCATTGAAAATTAGACTCTTCCTTAATTCTCAGATTCCTTTGCTTTGGGTTATTTTTTGTTTTGGTTCTGAGGGTTTTTTTTGTGGAATTGTGTCTATGTGAATACTGATCCTTGCTGGTTTCCGTTCATTATTTCCTTTCCACTGCTTTACAGCAACATAGAGAGGGTGGGTGGCTACTCAGTAGGGTTTTTTGCTTGATTTTATTCTTTCATAAGAAGAGCCTGTCTCACAATAAAAGCATTTTCAGAGCGTTCCATCTGTCTACCTGTATTTCAAATATCAATCCCATGTTTTACCACGTTCTTGGTTATGAGCCAAAAATTCCATGACCTAAGCACATTCACTGTGCTCTAGAAGTCGTTTGTAGTTTGACTTCTACCTGAAATTTTTCCCAAAAAACTAGCTCAACCTAGAGACAGGGAAGATATGCAGGATGATTATCCTGTTGGATTTTAGTGTGTCTCTTCCCTCCAGTTCACACATTTGCCATTGCATGTGTGTACCTGCCTTTTAATCTACTTATATTTACCACTAGATTTGTGTAGGTTTGATCATTGCACAGAAATTAACTTGTTTTGAAAATGTTCTTTTTTCCATATTTAGCATAATAAACTTTGCAGTGTCTTCTAGATCTGTATCTATGTCTTCTATTTTACATGTAAACTTTGTATCACAATATTGTTTCATTACATAAATACCTGTTCCACAAAATTGTTCTTATACTTTTTTTTAAAGCTTTTTCCTTTTAGCTGCTTAAAGGGTGTTACAACATTTCTTTATCTGATACATGCTACTTGTTAATTGCAGTTGCTATACTTTCCATTTATTTCTTTTATTTCAGCCAAAATTAGAAGACTTTATGACATAGCAAATGTTCTCAGCAGCCTTAAGCTTATCAAAAAAGTTCATGTTACAGAGGAGAGAGGTAGAAAACCAGCATTCAAGTGGACAGGACCTGAGGTCTTGCCAAATACTCAGGGTAGGTGTATGTGTCATTTTTTTCATTTTTCATTAACAAAATATTTCATTTTGTTCTGATGATGATATTGATTGGTTTTTTAATTTTCTGTACTAGAAATTTTTGACCAAAAGACAGAATAACTAAGCAGAAAATCTTTTACTAGTCACATCACTGTCCTTATCAGCACAGCAACCAGTATCTATTTGCACACAGTGGATGTTCAGCTATTGAGATTCTTGAATTTCCATGTTTGCTACTGTTGGTACTTCAGGAATTATAAGCCAGGCTCAAATAATTGCTTTTAATTAGTGAATCTGCATATGATACATATTTTTTTCTTTTTTTCTGTTTTTCAGATACAAAACTTGAAGCAACTTCTACAACCTGTTCCCCACCTGTTTCAGAATCCATCACTTCCAAAGAGCAGTGCTCAAAAGCCCTTTTTCCTTCAAAAGGAAAGCAAAATTTCACTCGGCACTCATCTCTAATAAAGTTAGTTAAGAGTATAGAGAATGACAGAAGGAAGATCCACTCTGCTCCAACCAGCCCAGTTAAAATAAGTGCCAGTAGGTATCTTTTCATAATTTTTCTTTCATAAACGTTTTTTTTTTGTTTTTAAGTCAGATGTACTCTTGCATTAAATATTTGGGCTTGCCCTCTTCTCACAGGACATGTAGATGTGTGGGTGCAGATGTGCTTTCCTTTCAGAAAATGCATCTTAAGAGCCGTCAAAAATGCAGAAATGGCTACAAACCTTTTGTTTGTCTAGAATCAATGAATATTGGATCTTCTCCGACCTGCTTTGTTGTAGAAACTCTGCTTTGGATCATACTATTTAACCAGTTCTGTATTCTAAAACATGGCCAGAAAATTACCTGTCAGTGTTCATGTTCTTGCTGGGGATCCTCTCTGGGGCCTTTAAAATTTGTTTGATGTAAGTTGATGTCCGGTTGAGCAAATCAAATCTGGGCTGAGTTTGAGGATAACTTATCTCATTAGCTGTTACATTACATAATGCAGTCTCCTCAAGTTAAAGTTAAATTTTTACTTTGAAAGTTAAATTTTTACTTTGATGAACTCACTCTTTTGATTTGTTCTTCTTCTCCTCCAACCAGGTACTTATCAAAGTTTACCAGTTTTCCCAAATACAATAGCTCAGTTTCCAGCAATCACTAAACATCAGCTGGAAGGACAATCCAAGTAAGTTTGCACAAATTTAAAGGTGAGAACAAGTTAGTTATGCTCAGTTTGAGTGGGGCAACAGCCTGCAAAAACCAGTAACCTTGAATACTGCAGGCTAGTTTTTCATTTATTTTCTCTTTAGTGGATTGAGAAGTACAGGTTCATGTTAAGTCTTTGTATTACAGAAGATATCATATATTACAGAAGATAATTTGTCAGAACATTCATTTTTGCATGAAGGCATTAAAACACATTTGGGGTTTTTTTGTTTGTTTTTTGCTGAAGGACAGCAGAAGAGATGCAAACGAAATGCGCCCTGTCCTCGCCTGAGGCTGTCCCCAAGCCTGAGCCCGCTCAGCAGCCAGCTCTGAGCCAGCCCCTCGGGGTGTGCCCTGCAAGCCACAGCTCCGTGTCACCCGTTATCCTACCTCATCCTCAGTCCGGGGTTTCATATGCAATCTATCTGCACCCTTCCCAAGCCCACACGGTAACAACCTACAGCCCAGGCTTCATGTTGCAACCTCTGCCATGTGCTAACGTAACTGGAATTAAAAGTAATAATTCAAAAATATTAAATAAAATAACCACTGAGGAAGAGGACACACCGAGAGGTCCGGATGAGCCTACAAAATCCTTGGCAGCTGAAGAAAGACCTGAAACGAAATCAGAAACTTCATCTCAGCGGTGCCTTAAAAGATCCCAAGCACTACCAGAGAGCAATTTAATTAAAAGGCGTAAAAGTGATGAGGAAAGCCTTGATACTTCTTTGGTAAGTTAAATTAGTTTTAAAGTGCCATTTTATGGCTTAGTGATGTTGCCACCTACTCATTTTCAAAGTGATGTAGGAGCCTGCCAGTGAGTGTAGGCGTTTTAAATAACATCAGGCTTGAAGAGATAGTCTTCATTTGCTATGCCTGTTGATGTTTGAGGGGCTGGGGTTTATATCTAAGAAGACAAAGTGTACAGGTGTAGTGAAAATAAAGTAGCTCACAAAACACTATGTCAAAACTTACCTATTTATACCTGATTTAGGAGTAGGTCAGGTTGAGAGCAAGGTTGGAAGCAAGAGATCTTCAAGGTCTCTTGAATTCTAGAATTTTGTGAACTTGCTGGCAACCATTCCTGGCTTTAGAGGTGTTAGGAGGGAAAGTGGATGTATAGAATTCCCTTTACAGGGAAATTCCCAAAACCCAGATGCTTTCTAAATATTTCCACCCAGTGTTGGTTTGTTGTAGGCATAATAAAACAACATATGAAGAGAATAAGAGGTTCAGATAAACTTGATGTATATGGAGAGACTGGGGCTGGATTGCTTTCTAGTCCTCAATTATTGATTGTTTTAGCATCTCTGTAAATTATAAATCTGCTGTAAATCTGGCTTGCTGAAACAGTTGTCATATGTTATGGGTGTGTTATGACAGCACATGCTATCCAACATCCACTAGCTGGGAAGAAACAAGATGTGATAAGATGGACCTGGCTGTCCTAGTGACCAGAAATTTTTATAGTACAAACTTGGGAATGAGGAGGAAGTAAAAAGCTTTCTTTCCAGTTTTTAAGAAGGTTTAACTATCGTTGTACATCTCTAATTGAGATCGTTAAGCCTTACAACATCTGCCTTTCTTTTTGTGTGTGCTTTTTTCAAAGGGAGAATCCACTAAGAATGAAAAACCACCTTCCAACAGCTCACAAACGAATCATGAAATGGACAGTGTCCAGGAAGACAGACAGAATGAAACCAAAACAGTAGATCAAAACATGGCAAGTTGCTGTGACCAATGTACAAAAGAAAATACTCCAGAAGATGAAGATAAAATCAAAACAAAACAAGACATACCTGTGGCATTTGCCATTCCTGCTCCTGAGGTAAGATTTGTCTTGCCATTCCCTGGGAAAACACTACTTGGAGTCTCTGCAAAAGAAACAAAACTACAACGAACTACACCTACATAGGCTGTCTTTGGCTGTATTAATTTTAGTGTGCTTTTAAAACCTTATTTTGTAGGAAAGTAGGATTTCTGTGTCTGCATTGAGTACACAAAAAAGAGGACATAAAGAGGCTTTCAGGCTTCCATTGGAATGAAGGTCACACTAATGAGCTGAGGGCAATATTGAGACTGCTTACCTCCCCCATCCTCTCTTTTTTTTTTTTTTCTATTGCATATATTTACTGTCAAATGCTTTGAAAGAGAATCGCATGAATCTCTCTTCATCAGTAAAATTCAGTATTATGCAGTTAAGACTGATTGCTGTAGAGAACCTGAATAAGGAATAGTTCTGTTGACGAAAACAGAATACGTAAATGCAAAAGTTTTGTCATCCAATATTTGTTTTATGAAAAATACAATCCAAGAATGAGGTGATGTGATGATTTACTGGGTCCAGAATGTTTCTTCTAGAAAAATAGTGTTGAGTATCATGGTTTCTTTTCCATCTGGTCAAACTGCACTGTGTTAATCCCAGGTGGATTTCCAGTTCCCCACCAACAGTATCAGCTGGAAATGGAGCCAGCTGACTTCTCTGTGGTTTTAATTGAAAGAGCATGTCCTTGAGACTGCTGTGTCTCATTTCAGACAGAAAGTAGTACAGGCATAGGATATGGCATCCTGGGGACATGGAGGATAAAGAACAAGAACAAGGCAAGGGAGGGTTGCAGTTTTGGAGAAAAGTTTTGGGGTTTGCTTACTACATGTTTGGGCTAAAGGTGTGGTGTCTCTTTCTTTCTCAGACTTTTTTTCCATCTGGTTATCTTATTCCTCTGACTCACTGCACCCATGGCAACAAGGCAGAATGCTCCACTAAAGAGAAGGCTGGGGTGTGTTCTCTGCAGCACACAGCCTACAGCTCTCCCATCACTGGTGAGTGTCCAGGGAAACAGGCATGGGGGTCCAGCTCAATGGGCCAGGGCCAGCTTGCCCTAATTCCTCTCAACACTTGATGTTTCTGTTCCAGGTGTCATTCCAATGCCAGCCTCAGAACTGAAGACAGTCAATATTCCTGCTTTTCATATAACACCCTTGAACATAATGCTGTCACCAAATTCCATAGCTGCTGCACCTGTACTGAGCAACTCCTGCCTCAATTCAAGCAGTACCAGTTCTGCCCCAAATCCAAGCTCCTCAGCTCTGAACTTTATGCTGCAACACATAGGACTAATACCTGCTGGTGTGCAAGTTCCTGCAAATCCTATTCTACAGCACGTGCCAGTCTCTTCCCAATCAGAAAATATCAGCCATAGCTCAGGGAGTACAAACGTGCAAGAAGGGAAGGTGAGTTAAAACATATCGCAACTCCACCATGGTGGGTTGAGTGGGAAGTGCAGTGCAGTAATTCCCTTACAGCAGATAAAATTTATAAATAAACATTTCTTTTTGATCTTTAGAAATCAGCACTGCCCAAAAAGAGCTAGCAGTGAAGGCCAGCCTAAGTACAGTAGAAATGAGAGGTTAGCAAGGAAGATAAGTGACTTATTTGTGGTGGAAGTGGAGCCAGCTGGAAGATGACAAGATGTGAAGAAACAACTGTTTTAGAGGGAGGATTTTACATATCTGAGAAATACTTTAATAATCACAAACTAGATTGTGCTTATTAAAAAATTGTTCCTTTGTTATTTTCTTTCCTTCTTGTTACTTCCCTAATCTACTCTCAAGTTCTTGTGTTTAATAATAGCTATTCTTTTAATAGGATAGGACTGTACAGGTTTTTAAATATTTTTCCCCCCACAGGAAGTTTCTCTGTATATTTTATATAATACTGTATTGCCTAATATCTGTTTGTGTTAAAAAAGAAGGAGATTAGAAAAACATACTTTTATGTATTTATATATATATATATATAAAGGAATGCAGCTATATCCTTCTCAGTAAAAAGTTCAGTTTTTAAATTTCAGGGGAAAAAAAAGTTTGCTAATATCCTGCAGAAACATAGAAGTAGAATTTACTTTTTATTCCCCCGTAAATGAAAGTAACTTTCTCTTTTCTCTTCAGTTCCTTCAGCCAAAGGAACCTCAGGAGCCTCAGGCAGTTACAGAGAACTTTTTCCGCACACCAGGAGGGCCAAACACAGAACTTGCACTATCTGCAAACTCAGATGGTACCCAGAGAACCTCTCAAGGAACTCTATATATTCCTCAACGAAAACTTGAAGTTTCAGAAGACTAATTTTGGGATAGGGAATTGCTGATTGTGTTAGCAGGCAAAATTGCTGGTAACACACTGCACACTTCTGGCATTGTATGATGGACAATGGTTTGGACATGTATTGCCAAGACCTCAATGCTGGAATAGCCTTCATTGACGCTTTAGAAAATAAAACTGACTCTTAAGGAGAAAGTTAATGCCTAATGAATTTTTCCAAAAGGATTACCTGAAGTATTTTAACAGCAAAGTTAGGTATCTAGTGGGGTTTTTGTGAGTGTGTGTTGATTTCTTCTATGCAAAGTAAGCTGAAATTGTCTTTGTACAGAAAGGTACAGTCTATCAGTCAGTACATATTTTGCACCAAAAAAAAAAAGTACTGTGAGTGTGTAAATATTTTATGTCTTAGAAAAAAGGCCACAGGTAAAATGTTTTGCATCTGTGTTTAAATAAATGCTCTTTTGTAAAGTTAGTGAGAAGCACAAAAACTCCCAAATTTTCTTAATCAATTTTTATATAAGTTAAGAATTATTTATACTGTATTTTTAAATTGATTTGTTCAGATTAAACTTACATAAAACTCTACAGTGACTTTTTCTGTTTGATTACATTAGATTACCTAAGTTACACATTGCATATGCATATATTGCATATTCACTGGCATCTCTTAAGTCATTTTTTGTCAGGCAGGGCTTGCTGTGTTCTGAAGGAAGGGGGGGAAAATGGTGTTTTGTGAAAAAGTGAATTAAGTAACTCAATGTAACTTTTGAACTCCTATCAGTACATATTACAACTCCTAGAAACAAGTCAGAACAAAAAAGGAAGTAAGATATCACCCTGGAGCATTCAGGAATGCGTGGCCAAATGTCACAGAAGTTTCAAACAGGTTCAATCAAACCACTTGAATTTAAATAAGGGCAGCAGTGTCTCATATACATTGAAGGAAGAAAGATGAAGACTCCTCCTACAGCTCACACTCAGATAATAAGTAATAGCTGACAAATTGAATAAAAATACAGTGTATCTGCCTTCCCAGGTGAAATGTACCTGGTAGACCAGTCTGGGATAGAAGAAATAAATGGTAGCAAAGCCCAAGATTCAGGCTTGGACTGCACAAAAAAGATATATATAATTAAAACAGCTACCACAGTAAAACAAACTCATCTGTTCTTTAATAGTGCAAAGTTCTAAGACAAAATACACCTGACAGAATATTTCACTATTGAAATATTTCAATAATAATAAATGAAGGGGAAAGAAGAATAAAAGCTGGAAGAGGGGAAAATTCTCACTAGAGCACTGAGTAGATTTTTCTTTTCCACCGAGATAACTGATCTTCCTTACACCTGCTATCAGCCTCATTCTGGAAATATAAAGGCAAAGGTTTTAGAAACTTGCATTGCTCAGTGGAACACCCCTTTCATTTTTGAGCACCACAGCTGACAGACTAAGAAACTACAGTAACTGGTCTTAGTGAAATGGTCTTGTCACACATAGTGCTGGGAAAGCTGAGCATATTTTGGAAAGCTGAGCATATTTTCTGAATTTCTGTGTCCCTTGGCTCCTGACACACTGCAGTTGCTTTTTCATGAGCACTTTTCTTCCTGTGTGCTGGTTTTGGAGGCTGAAAAGCTGCTGCTTTCTCAGCTCCAAGGGTCTCCTGCCCCAGCAGACCTGCGTTTGTCTCTGACAGCCCAGCTCACTGCTCTTCTCACCTTGCCTCACCTCCCCTGGAAGGTGCCCTGAGTGCCTGATCTGCTCTGGGGAAGTCCCTCTGCTCCCCAGGCTGGCTTCACTTTGGAGTTGCTGTGTTCCAGCTCTTGGGGCAGGGTTTTTTAATCCCTTCCACTGATTTATAGAAAACTACTTTCTCACTCCAGTTCATGCATATGCAATTCCAGTTGCGTATCTTGAGTCTTTTCTAACAGTCCCAGATCCTGCTAACCACAGTTGACCTGGAATGATAGGTAATCCCAAGTAACCTGTATAGATCTAGGTGTTCCTTGGAGCTGTAAAGAGCTTTTCAACAATCCTTACAGGGGCACGCAGCAGCACAGAAATTAGGCAGCACCCAACACTGGGAAAACTAAAAGTTCATCACCTGCAGTTTTCCCTTAAATTCTCTGCCAAAACCAAAGGAAAAATACTTACATTTTGGGGCAAAAACTGTTTTCACAGAGTTCCCTGCAGTTGGTTATGGTGCAAATCCATCCAAGTACATGATCTATAAAATATGAGTGAACATTACAGATGATTCATCCATCTCAAATGTCAGGGGTCCTAATGTAAGTCACCAAGGGCACAAACACAAAGATTTAAGAAGCTTCTCAGTGCTTCCCATGTATTCCAAGAGGGAGTTCAGGCCTGCCCTAACCCCTCCTTGCTGCCCTCTTACAAGGAACCCTCATACCACACACTGCACTGTCTACTCTGCATTTGGCTTTATCTGATATAGAATAGTTCCATTAACTAACTGGGACAATGACCCAGAAGAGATGGTGTCTAGCTCCTCTGCTCAGGAAAGAAATAGTCCTTCAATTTTGCACCAAGGACCTGTCTCTGCATGATACAATTTGCCAGACTCAACAGCAAACAGATTTATAGGTTCCTAAGAGTTTTCTTAGCAGCCTCAGCTAACAGACCCCTAAATCCTAAAGTCTAATGTGGATTTGGCATCTAATTTTCTTGTGTTTCCATGAAAGTCCCCAAGTTGAGACTTTCAGCTTGAGATTTCTGGTGTTTAACCCCTGGGATGGGCCCTTTCATACACAGCAAAGTCCAGGCATCTGCTTAGAAAAATGAGAATTAGCTTCTAAACCTTTAAAGCCCTTAAAATAAATCCCTGTTAAAAAGTTCATACTTTACTGCCCATATCTCTAATACATCTGCAGCCTCATCCATTTCCAAGGGGCTCATTCAGGCATTGCAAAGGTAATTGCAATAATTACACAGGCTAAATATTATAGATATTGTCTACCCACTTTAATGCCTAAAAAACAGTAAAAAATGAAAGATTTGAGGTAAAAGCATAATCTTCTGTATCCTAGAAGACAAACCATTTGTATCTATCAAACCATGAACTGCAGAATGAAATGCTATTTAGTTTAAAACTGTTGTTTTCCTGGAGGTGCTACAAACAAGTTTTGATGTATTATTATTTTTAACGGTTATTTTGGTAAATTACTTTTGGCAATGTGACCATTAATAACAAGATCATCATTTCAAGAATTGTTATTTTGTGATTCACATTTAAGCAGTGCAGTAGAGAAACTATAAAACTTTAATCTTTATTTTTGATTTGTTAGGCTGCAGTCAGGAGTGTCCTTTAGGTGTAATCTGAGGGGCTGCATTGTTGTCCACCTACTCACAAGCAGACATAAGGGAACAAAATGCCAGGCTTTTGTCAGAGGTTATTTTCAGCTTGGTGATAGCAATGGCATTGCTCAGATCCCTGAAACTCTCACTACCCTCCCCTCCCCTCCCAGCTTGTAGGGCTGGCAGAAGTGGTCACTGCATTTAAAGAGAGCAGGAACCCCTCCTGTTCAAACCCTTTGAGACCCAAGAAAAGAAGGAGAAAATTCAAGCAACTACGGTGAGTTGAGTCCCACGGGTTCTGCCAAAAAGGGTTTGGGTATTTTTTTATTCCTAACAGATGATAGAAGCAGTTTGTTGCCTGACAAAGAAAACCACATAGGTATAGTATGAAATATGAGTCCTACAGAGCAATGTTTTAGGTTTGGAGTAGCCAGTAGAAAGAGAGAGTCTTCTGGCTCAGCGAGGCAAGTAGCTACTGGTGTTGCAAGAGCAGGGCTGGGGGGATCCTCATTAGAGACACTCATTTGGACTAGGCAAGACTGGATAACAGAAGTTTCAGAATGTTTAAAAATTTCATTACAAAGCTACAGAATTATGTGTCTGCAAACAGTCAGTCATTAGAAAGCGCACATACACAGCATACAAATTTTTGTGCTTTTATAATGGTATCCTAGAAGTAAGAAACCAAAACCAATCCCCCAAAATCTTCAAAATATTTAATGTTGGAGACCAGTTGGTTTCATATCAAAAAGTGGAAAACTTCTGTGCAGACTTGACAAGAAATGGCTAGCTAAGAATGCAGGATGAAAGAATTATTCCCAAATCCATCATTCAAGCATTCTAAGAGAGCATGATTGGTCAAATCTTCAGAAAAAAAAAACCAAAACCAAAAATTCAAACAAATAAATAAATACACAAATACATATGTGTTTTTACTATGAAAAATTTTCTGCCTAAAGGTAAAATTATTTCAGAGAATAAAGCCATGCATGTAGATAAAATAATTCTGTGTTGTAGTCATCACAGTGCTATTTCAAAGTCTGTAGCAGTTTTGCCTGGCACTTAAAGAATTTAGTGTAGAGATAAGGATTTAGAGAAGGATCGTGTGGAAGGAATAGTGAAAGCTGATAGCCCAGGATTAGGCCTGGAAAATGGAATGGGTCATTTGTACAGCAGGATGCAGCTTTCCACAGCCACATGGATCAGACTGAACTATGAGTGTGAATGTACAAGCATGTGAATGTGGGGTGTGGTTTGGTTTCTAAGTCAGAATGAAGTACCTTATTCTGGCAGCAGATACTGTATTTTTTGGAGATGTAATCTTAAATTTCTGCAAAAGTGTGCATCAAGGAAATTTCAAAGGAAATGTGGCATCACTAGGCTAGAAAATAATAGAAAAAGTGGAAGAACAGAGATGAAATCAAGGGAATGTGGCGCTATCAGCTCTCAGCAATGCACACGTGCTTCATATCAAGTCGGTTAAAATCTTTTGTTTCGAAGTACCACGTGTAACTTAGTGTGACCAGTGCCAAGGAAAAATCAAGATTTACTTTCCAGTTTTGAAGTTCCCATAGCTTGACCTCTTCTGTGATGCTTTACTGCACATGTAAGGGGAAAATGCTGGTTATTATGAGATTATGGTGGAAGCTCAATGTATGACACTGGCTAATAAAATTCACCTGTAGCCACAGCCCACTGAATGCATTGGAATATCAGAAATATGATTATAAACACATAACAAGATCACATCTCCATCAAATGAGCTGTCTTCAAACACAAGCCTTCCCTCTGTTGTGAATCTCTCCTGCTGAGGGAGAAGCACAAGGGGCTGGATTTTGACAGACACACCTCCAGGCTGTTCAAGATGCAGTGGCATCTCAAATACAGACACATCAAAAGAAAACCTCACTGTGAGTGTCAGTTGCAGAGAAAAATCACACCAGCATTTTATTGCTATTGTATAAAGGAAGACATATCTTTTTATCCCCACGGTGCTGCTGGGGTGAGTACCACTAAGGATGGTCAAATGAGTCATGGTGGTCACAGGACAGGTCACAGCAGAGCTGTGATTAGATACCAGAGTGGAGTTCTGGCTGCACTGGCATTCCCACAGACTTCAGCAGTGAAATGAATTTCAAATATGGCCTTGATACTTTGCATTTCAATGTAGACAGCGATGTGTGAGTTTTATGATATTATGATATATTATTTACACTATATAATATATAATATATAATATTTATTTTTATTATCTATTTAGATATTATATACTATATAGTATATTATATTGTATATTATATATTATTTCTATTATCACTATATTATATTATTTATATTATTATTGCTTGTTATTGTTAGGTAAGGAATCAAGAAATCAGTTTTCTTACCCTCTGAGTCTAGACCAAGCAGCTTAGCTGGGACTAAAATGCAGAGAGATGCAAGGCACGCCACTCCCCACTCAGCACTTCTACTGCCAGTGGTCACAAAGACCAATATTCCCCATTCTGTTTATCCCCTTCAAAGCCTGCAGCACATGTGGCAAAGAGATAACCCTGCCAGCCACACAATACATAACTCTGCAGTCCATTCAGATAAGACCTGAGCTCTAGACTGTCAAATGCATGAGCACATAGAAGGGAAAACTTTGTGTTTAGCAAGGAAGCACCAGAATTAGTTCCAATTAATCCATTAATTAATTACATTTTTCACCTGCAGCACAGTCAGGCATTAGCACTGCCTTTTACTACTCCACATTTCATCAGGCCCATACTGCATCCACCACCCATTTAGATCAACGGATCAAAATACATTTTTGGATTTTATCCTTATCAATGGCACTTTGATTAGAGAGAGACCCTCTGTAGCAGTGATGTGACACCCAGATTTGGACAGTATGACTAACAGCCCAAAAGAAGACAGCTCACAGTGTTTTCATGCCTGTGAGAGCACATCAACACTCCAAAGGCTTCCTTGCTCCAAGCCCACCCTACAAAGCAGTGATACAAGCTCTAATTAATGGGAGGCATGAATCCTTGGCTGCATATCTGATGTATAAATTCTGCTCCATATAGAAGCTACATTCTGAAGAATGACAAAAGCTGCTGAATAGCATTTGAGCAAGCCCAAGAACATTCCTCCGGATTAACAGCACCCTGAGTGCCCACACATCGCAACTAACACTCAGAAGTTTCTGCGTCACACATTTCTTACCTTTAGGATCAGTCTGCTCCACTTCCCACTAGATCACCAGAATATAACAAGTACCATGTGGTGAGCAGATATGAAAAGCTAACCAGATTAAGACAACAAAGTTCAAGGAATTTAATGGGGATTTAGACACTGACACCCAATGAAATGATGGGAAGTGGAGACTTTGGATCTACTTTTTTTCTGATGACAAATGGCAGACCAAGTTCTATTTCTATTGAAAGGATGGAGCTTTATCCACTGTATAATTTAGATGAGTACAAAACTATGAGTGCCACACCTCCTGTGGAGATTACCTTCCCATGGTGACCCTGCTGCAAAGGCAGCATCCCCAGGGATGGCCAGTCAGCTCCAGAGGGATAAGAAAAGCCCGGACAGGAAGAGCACAGATGTGCCTGGGTACCTCATCCAGCTGTTCCTCCAGCCAGCATAGACATCATGGCATGCACTGCTATTCTTACACCAGTATCCTTACAGAAATATTTCTGCCATGCCTTTCTTCTTTCTCCTACAGCTTCTCATCAGGTGATGCCAAAAAAACCATGGAAAATGTGTATGCATGCCCAGTCATGTTACTATAATTAGTCTCAGGAACAATGATCCTTCTAAGAGCTTTAACCACAGCCCTTGACAGCACAAGGTTCACTATCACACTTTATCAGACTTTTTCGGAGATTATTTTTTCCCCTTCAGCTGATGATGTTAATTGGAGTTGCCTTCAACAACTGTCCTTGCTGCCACAGTTTTGGAGGCTTGGTGTGCCTTTGAGGAGACCTAAGAGAGAGGAAGCAGCTTTACAGAGACCAGAGGTACAAACCACTCTCCTCCCAGCCAGCTGTCTCAGCTGGGAAGGGATTCCACTGGAAACCTGATTTGAAAGGGAACACTGTAGACACAAAAATCTCATTTTAATTTTCAAGGAAATGTCAGAAAACTGACTTTTATCCATAGTTGCTCTTCCTTCTTTTAAAATGTTTGAGGCATCACTTGAATATGTTTTCATAAGAGAAAGAAAAAATGGCACCAATACAAAAGTACTTTAAAAACAGAAGAAAATATAGAATAGCAGAGTGATAATAAGATTTTACCTACATGAAAGATTCCTTTCTGTTCCTTTATCTCACATTTAAAAGAAATTGAAAAACCAATTTAACAGTGCTGTTCAGAGAAGGCTTCACTGAGTGAGAGAGATCAAATTCATCATCTGTTCATTGTGCCCAGGTAGTTTTGTTTCTTATTTCAGCTACATCAGTTTTTGGTGTGGTTTTTTTTGGTGTTTTTTTTTTGTTTTTTTTTTTTTTTTTTTTTTTTTTTTTTTTTTTTTTTTTTTTTTTTTTTTTTTTTTTTTTTTTTTTTTTTTTCTTCTTTTTTTTTTTTTTTTTTTTTTTTTTTTTTTTTTTTTTTTTTTTTTTTTTTTTTTTTTTTTTTTTTTTTTTTTTTTTTTTTTTTTGCTTCTCACTTATTGCATTACAGATAAACAGAGTTAGAAGAAAGGTGAGTTTTCATTTCCTTTCTGCACCATTACTGTTTTGGAACTGCCAGAGCAGTTCTGCTCCTGAGCAGGCTCTCAAGAGAGCTGGGAGGGTCTGGAAGAGATTAATGATGCTGCTGCTGTGTGACAGCAGAAGGCTAAGGCTGGGCTGGCTGAGCTGGGGAGGGTGTTCAGCTGAGCAGAAATCAGCCTCACAAAGAGGAGGAGAGGGTGGACCTTGCATGAGGATGACAGGTACACTGTCTAGTGAAGGTAGCAGTCACAACAGTGACTATTTAATTACACAGGGTTAAGGATGTGCTAATGACTGCTGTGGTAAGGCAGAGATGTTTGGATATGCAGGTATCTGCACAGTTATCAAACACAGACTGCAAAACCTGCCCCATTGCCATGTCTCCAGTGCTATTGTCTCAGTCTGTGTCCCTTCCTTTTGCTGGACAGACAATTCTTTCATATCACTGCAGGATTTTTGGTCTTAGCTGTCAGAAAGGATTCCCCTCAGGGTGCAGAGTTGGCATGTAGACATTGTTCATTTCATTCTGAAATTCAGAAGATTAAAGTGCAGAAGGCACTGAGATGATGATAAGCACAGGACATTAGTCCAACGTAAACACATAGCAAAATGTTAGTCTAAAATGCAACTTATTGAAAATACCAGCTCTGTTACATCAGTGCTGTGACAAATTCCCCTCTCTCTATCACCTGACCTCAGAAGAAAATTCTCAGATAGCAGGCCTGATTCAGCCTTCAAAATCCGCCTCTTAGTTAAAAGTACCTTTTGGTGAATTTAATCAAACACAAACAGCACAAGCAGGCTTCAAAATAACTATAATAAGAAGGTGACTAGTTTTCCAAGAAGAAGGAGGAAGGCCCGTGCCAGGAGCTTGGAATAACCTGATAATTCGGTATACAGATGACAAGATGACATCCCAGTCTTTCCAGAAATGATGACTCAAACAAGAAAACAGAAGGGCAGACTGGGGGCTGGGGTTGTTCCAGGTGTGTGACGGCACAATCACAGGGAAAAGTACTCAGCCTGACATCAGGAGACCTCGGCTGGGCTACTGCCCTCCTGTGTGACCTTGGGCAAGGCACTCCAGTGCTAACTGGAATAGCAAGAACTGGAACAGAAACCATGGCTCTTTTTTTTCTCTGATGTTTAGATTTTAAAAGCAATTGACAAAGAAAAAACCCCGATACCTTAAGCACCTCAGGAACCTGTCCATTATTACTTTACAATGGCTGCGCAGCAGAGATCTTGTGGCTGTTTCATGAGGAACTCAGAAAAGGTGATGTTGGAGTACAGGAAAGGACAGTGTCGAAAGAAAACGACTATTTGATGGAAAACAGACCCTAGATCCTCTTTTCCACAAGAGGGTTGAGTGATCCTAGCACCTTTTCACTGAAATACCTCACAATCATTTCACATATTTACCATCACAATATACCAAGCTAAGGAATATCCTTTTTTATGAGAGAATCACAGGGATTTAGACTGTTCCTGTCCCCAAAGCACCAAGGTAGTACCCTCACTTCTGCTACCACAGAGGCATGAAGTATATTGCAAGTATGCAGTAGCAGTTGATGGGAGAGGGAGGAAAAGATTTTTTTTAAGTCAAGCTGTTCCATTTAAAAGAATTCACACTTGCTGTTGCATTTATTTATGTAATTTGTTTTCCTAGGTTAACCCTTCAGATAAGGATGCCAAACTGGGGAGGAGGAGCCAAGTGTGGGGCCTGTGAAAAGACAGTGTACCATGCTGAGGAAATCCAGTGCAATGGAAGGAGTTTCCACAAGTCGTGCTTCCTCTGCAGTAAGCTGGGCTGAATGATTTAACATCACAGCACCCCCATAGCTCTGTATGACTCTTCCTTTAAAGCCAGAACATTTATTTTTGCATTACTTGGCAGGCCGTTTTGCTGCCTTTTACCTGGAGCAATCTGCCTCTTGGGCTCCTGGCTTTTCTTTGTCCAAACATGAGATGGAGACATGAAGGAGCTGAAGAATCACTGTATCTAAGTCCATCTGCAGGACACCCTTCCTTCTGTCCCACAGTGTGTCATACCACAGGTTTGCTCCAGGTTAAAAAGCCCAGCAGAACTAAACAACACTCATCAGACAGAAGGATGATTACTTCTTTACTTTTAGGAGATGATTACTTTCACAAGGAGTCCTGACATTAATTTGTTTCACACCGAAAAGCTGAAAGACCCTGGTGTCATCAAAACCTCCCACCAACACTCTGCATGGACTTCAGCCTCCTTCCCATACTTCATGTAGTCACATTTCGCTTACTCTTTCCCTCCACGCTCCTCTGTGATGTTTGACTTCCAGGAATTTTGCTTTCTCTGTACAAGAGGCAGAAATTTGTAAAAAAAATAAAAATTCAGAGAGAAGGTACCAATTCAGCTCTGTTTGCCCTTTGTGGAGAGGGAGAGAGCAAACAATTTGCTAAGAACTAAAGATAGCTGAAGAGTTTATCTTGCAGACAATACTTGGGATTGGTACCTTTGCAGTACAACTCCCAGCATGACAGTTTAGGAGCCACTGAATCCAATTTTCTCTTTCCCTTTCTGGAGGGATAGAGACTTCTTATTTAGAGGCATCAGACTAATTTTACATGCTTAGCTGATACAGAGCAACTCTTTGAAGAATAAGACCAAAGGACTCACCTGAGCTGTCTTTGCCTTTCTCCAAGTGCCCTAAAAGTGATGGCTAAAAGTCCAAATGATCCCTTTAGTGACGCCTAAAAGGCCACTAAGAAAGAAAGGATTCCCTCAAAAAATTTCCAGTTAACTGACAACCTTCAGCCAATTCTTACAGAATGGTAAAAGAAAAATCTCAATCTCAACTAAAACTTTCCTAATGCTTCCATGTTCTGCCTATAACAATAAATAGTAAATAAAAATCAAGAACTGCCCTAATAGAGCATAGTTATGAATATTTCTCAAGTGTAGTCTTCATTCTTAGTACAACTGAATTATTTTCTTTATTTTCTTTTAGTGATTAATGATAAACAACTTACATTCATTAGCTCTATCAAATACTTGGTTTGTTGGGAGGCTTTTCTTGGTCGGTTGGTGGTGTATTTTGTTGTGGGTTTTGTTTGTTTGTTTGTTTTTAATGTTCCTTTATTTGCCCCTTGTTTTAAGTCTGAATTAATTATTAATAGGTTAGATACTAAAAATAGTATTCCCATCAGAAATATGTTTAAGGTCAAAACTGGAAGATGCATCTAAGTTGCCCAGTTGGCATATGAAAGGTATGTTAATTGGCTTTACTTTCCCCCATGATTCACATACACTATTCAGCAGCTCTGGATGCCTCAGGATCATGTATCACATTCATGGGCTTTTCTATGAACTATTTATAAGATTTCATTTCTCAACAGAAGGAAACCAATTCTCCCCAGCCTAAACTCAGGCATGGAAACAGTTAATTTAGCTGCACTTTTGTATATTTCTATATAAAACTATTTCAAATAGATCCTTCATTTCACATTATATTTGACCAGGTACCCAAAGCACATCTGTATTTTTTGACCAAAGAGTTCAATTTCAGCAGAATTGTAAACAACTCAAAGCAACCTGTTAAAACTGGGAGAATCAGACAAGCTAAATTATTTACAACACTCTCTCTCTGCTCCATAGTTTTCCCCTACAAGTATTGCAAGAGAGCAATTTGTTTCCAGCAATCCCTCCTTCCTGTGCAGACTCCTGTTTACCTGCAGACTGACGTTTCACTGACAGCTTTTATCCAAAGAGCAGCTGTGATGGACATTTGGCAGGATCTCATGCCACCAACCTGGATCTCCTCAGCACCAGCGGGAGAACAGGATCTGTTGGCAGATGACAGGTCTCAAAGTTATTTCAACAATAGCACTTCAAGGGCTTTTGCTCCATCTGTCGTGGTGAATTGATACCCTATCCCTAAGGCACCAGAAATAGAAACACTTTATTTACTGCTAGAGTTTCCATCGTCCCTTAACTCCCTTAGCAAATACAATTATCATCTCAAAGCAAGAGTGCAGTACAGAAGTGCCTCATTTTACTTCTGTTAACTATAAAGGTCTTTGCAAATTATTTCTCCCTCCATGCAATACAGGGAGTAGGAAAGCCACAAAGATAACCAGAGAGCTGGGGATGTATAACTATTTATATTGCCCCTTAACAGCAGCCTGGTCTGGGGCTTGGAACTGCATGATCTTTTAAGTCCCTTCCAACTCAAACCATTCTAGGAGTCTATAATTAAAGCTGCAGAGGTTCCAGGGTGTAAATTCCCTGCAGCGGATCAATTGGATTCAGAGGAGGACATTTAAAGTAAACATGGGGGAAAGGGGCTAATCAAACACCCAGGTAGCTCCTCCAGATCTTGCACTTCTGGCCACTTTCAATACTTCTGTATTTCACAGCTTTCTGTTGCATACATGAACTCAGCAACTTTGTGTTTCAAGCTGTCAATAGCCCATGACTGGAATGCCCTCTGCAGGGTAAGCATTTGTTCTAAGGAACCTGGAGAGAAAGATTTTGCATATTTTTTTCCCCCACTTCTAATCAACCACTGTTGAACAGTGAACAGTTTGTAAGAAGTATTGAAATAGTAATTTTTTAGCATACTGGAAAATCCTGGTTTTCAAGAGAGACTCTGAATGGAAACATCTTCCTCTCTCTCTCTGTGGGGTGGAGGCTGTGTCACACTGAGTTCCCCAAGTGGTGCAGCAGACACAGGCATACACTCCTTATTAAGTAGTCAGGAGTGTAGCTACTATATTTTTTTCCCATTCATTATTAGTAGTGCTGTAGAGGACAAAATTTGTATTTGTATTCCCTGATGAAAGCTGGGCATTCCTATGACACCTTCTGTCCAAAAGTCTGCTAGTGAGCTAAGCTAATTGTAGTTCTCTGTAGCAAAGACGATTTGTAAGAGCTCTATTTGTGAATGGCTACAGCCGCATTCCTGTCATCCTGGAGGAAGTCTGACAGAGCTGACACTTGCTTTGCCTTAGTGCCACAGCTCCAACAAACAAATAATTATAAAAAAACCCCAACATGTCCTGTCTGACTCCAGACAGGAGTCGATGTTAAACCCTCTCTCAGAAATAAATCATGTCAAAACAGCCTGGGCTGAGCTGAGAAAACCACCACAGACTCAGAGCAAGTATTCTGAAAAGCCCAGATCATTGTCCCTGCAACCTTCTTTCTCCCCTTTTTTAAGGTCTGGGAGTTCAGGATGCCCAATTTCAATCTCAATTGCATTTTATTCTTCACAGATCTAAATTTCCCTGGGGTTACAGGTTAACTTCAGAGTGGCAAAAGAACAGGCCATGTGCACACACATGTACATGCCCCTTACTTCAGGAACAGCTCAATCAAGTTTTCTACTGACAAGTTTATACTGACTGGCTCCTTTCCCCACATTTTTAAAGCTAACCATAATTAGTATTTCTTTTTGTTTATTTTAAACCACATAAATTCAAATTTGAAAAGGCAAATGCCGATATGTGCCTTTCTCTCCCTGTTTTCAGTGGCTTGCAGGAAGGCTCTGGACAGCACCACAGTAGCAGCTCATGAATCTGAAATCTACTGCAAAACCTGTTATGGGAGAAAATACGGCCCCAAAGGGGTTGGCTTTGGACAAGGGGCTGGATGCCTCAGCACTGACACCGGAGACCACCTGGGCTTGAACCTGCAGCAGTGAGTCAAACCCCAGTGACAACTCCTTCTTCTGGTCCTACTTGTCTCTTACCAGGCTGTTTTATATATTTCATTCTATTTCCATAACAACATCTAGCATAAGGAGCAGAGCAGACTTTCCTACACCCTTTCCTTCCATGGACACTGTAATTCACAGTTTTTAATGATGCTCAGTCTCTTTAAGCCTGCTTTACAAATTTTACCCTCCTTCAATAGGTAATTATTCTGCAGAAGCAGCCTTTATATGCCACCACACATGTAAATATTCACTGCAATTGTAATCTGCCATTTGTAGCACAGTGGTAAAGTCACATTAACCATAGAAAAAGATTTTTTTTTTCCTGTTAGAGGCTAAAATACAGTTAATGTTTTACTCTTAGAGAAATAATCACAATACCCCATACTGATAGCACTTCTCTCAATGGGGGAAATAACATTTCTAAATCCTCCCTGTGGTTCTAATAACACTTAAAAACACATTGAGAATGTGTTTGAACAAAGAAATTCTAATGGGATACCATCTTCCAAAAGCACATAATTAGCTCTGACAGTTCATTTTTATAGGATTTTCCTGCATTTCTCAAATTCGCACATTTCTAAATCAACGATGTTTCTTCTTTCTTCTGGGGGTCTACTATAAAGAAACTAATTAACCAATATGCTGTGCAGGAAATAAAAGCTTAAACAATGTATTTAACTGTAGCTCCTTGTACCATACAAATCCATTACGGGCAGAGTTCTGCACTCAAAACTGTTGCATCCTATGGATAAAATGACCTGTTTTAGTCCAACTATCTGATAATTCAGAAATCATTCTGTGAAAGGCTTTATGCACAAAGATTTAAAGCATGAAGTCCAGAACTAAAAAACAAAGCTACTTTTCGTATGTCCTTTTGACCCTAGGCCAGGCAAGAACCCCAATTCCCTGTCCAAATGTTTCACTACCTAATGAAACTACGGCATGCAAAACCTGAATTTTTATTTTCAGTTTGATGAGTACCAGCAGACAACCAGTTACAAAGACTAGAGACATCTTTTCCTTGTATTTTCCCTGTTGCCTCTCAATGAGAGAAAATTGGTTTTTATTTCAATTTTCATTAAATACAACCTTTTGTGCATGTAGCTGCTGCCAGCTCCATGTATTTAGCCCAGAACAGGTAATATCAGAAATTACAGTACCAGCTTCTCAATCATACAACACAGAATTCAATATAATACTTTGATTTTCTTCTTTTTTTATCCCCTTTTGCACGTCAGAGATGAGCAATTTAGTATTTTTTATGCCTTACTAAAAAATAATTAAATCCTTTTTAAAAAGAAGATAACATTTTTAAGCAGCTTTAAAAACTTCTGTTTTAGGGGGTCACCAAAGCCTGCTCGCCCCTCAACACCAACTAATGCTTCAAAGTTTGCCAAAAAGGTGGTAGATGTGGATAAATGTCCCCGTTGTGGCAAATCAGTGTATGCTGCAGAAAAGATCATGGGAGGAGGAAAAGTAAGTAGTGACTTCATCACTAGGAAAAAACCCCCACCAATTTATAATGGTGAGAATCTATAGCTAAGAGGTCCTCGATAATTTAAATTTTCATTCATAAAGAAAACACGAGGATGAATTTGCAAATTGCTTCAACAGGTTTAAAATCTTGTACTTTTTGTAAATATTTTTCAATCTTTTGCTTCTTACTAATGTTTGAGGACCAAGCACAGATTACTGTACAAGCTGGCTCTTCCACCATCTCTGGGTATATTTATAAACATTTATGTGTAGTGGCAATTGAAGATATATTAGACAAGGTAACTGAAAAAAAGCTAACCCAGACTGACTAAAAATGGAAGCCACAAGATCTACAAATGAATTTTAACCTTTCCACACCACACAAAGCAGTACTTCTTTGTTTCTTGTACCTGCTGTCTGTGCGCTTTCTGTGCCACACAATGAACTGTCTCCCCTTGCTCAGCCTTGGCACAAGACCTGCTTCCGCTGCGCCATTTGTGGGAAGAGTTTAGAATCCACAAACGTTACAGACAAGGATGGAGAGCTCTACTGTAAAGGTGAGAGTTGCAGAGAGCTGAACTGGGCTACAGAGTCAATCTAAAGTTAGTCTCTTTAGAGATTGCCATTGTGATTTACCTTGCTGTACGCTTAACACCCCCAGGAAATTTCACTTTTGTCTTTTTTAAACAACCTTCTGAAAGCAAAGAGCTGTGGTAACACTGCAGTTGCATCTTCTACTATTAACATTTAAATTTTAAAGCTATAATTTTTCTACAGGTGGGACAACTTCTCAAATCTGCCAGACCTTCTAACAGAGCACTAGCCATATCTGCTGGGCAGGCTCTTGTACCTGCACAGTCTCACTCACTAAAATAAAAAATCCACAAAGATACAGATCTTTGGTCCTCCAAATCAGAATTCTTGCCAATAAACTTTTGAAGATATTTCCACTGCATTGGTATCGCAGAAGATAATGCAAAAATGGTAAATTACACATCTAGATGTTCTTCTCAGATTCACAAAGTTCACAGACTTCACTTGACTCCTAGAAATAGCTTAAGGGGGAAAAACGTATGTGAAGCTTTTATATACAAAGCTAAACTTTACGGAGAGCCCTAAAAAAAGAATACTGGAGTTCTGTGACTTTGGGTACAGTCTGTCAACCATAAGTGGATCAAACTGGCATATTTGGAGAAATATACTCACCATTACCACTTAGCAGACTTGTGATAAACAACAATGCACACATTAACCAATATAGAGTTCAAATGGAATTACTTAAATGCCCATCAATAGTTTCCGGATTATGTTCCAGTTCTTCTTGAAAATCTCTGGCTTACTCTGTACTACTCATCAGACCAAGTTTTACTGAGCATTTTTAGACAGAGAAGTAGCTTTAATGAAAATATTACTTAGATCTAAAAAAATATATATATAATTTCTTAACTTCCTTTGAGATCACCAGATCCAACTTCTGTGTAATTCAAATATCTAATACCAGTTTCACTATTAAGAACTGGATAAACTTATGGGAAATACACTATTTCAGATTTCCTTCCTTTTTATCAACTTACATTTGATAGTAATTTAAAAATGAAAACCAAAAGACATTTACCTCTGAGAGCCTTCAGAGTACCATTTACCTCCCACTCCTTCTTTTGCAGTTTGCTATGCAAAAAACTTTGGTCCCAAAGGAATTGGGTTTGGTGGCCTCACTCAAGTGGAGAAGAAAGAGTGTGAATGAGAAGAAATGAATGCAAGACTCAAACTGCTGTTGAGGACACCAAGTGATAGCTGTCAAGTAAAACATTAAACAACACATATTGCTAAGTACCTAGGGCATTTGATTAAGATTTTCCTCCTTGCAGAAAAAATCTGAGTTGTATCTTAAGAAATTCTTAGAGTAGATTATAAAGGTACAATGATAAAACTAGACTTATGTTTGTGTCTAGTATATAGACAAGGAACCTCATGGAACATTATTGCTTCGTAAACTAGTACTTGGTCACATTTTAGACTGGAATTTTAGACTCATAGTGCCCCATTATGATAGGGATACCTTCTGGAGCGAAGGGTCCAGGTGTTCCCAGTTAGATTGTATTTTCTTTTTTTCACAATGTTAACCTGTCTGTATTTCCACCAGTCTCCTAGCTGAGTTTTGATTATGCTGGCAATTGTGTTAGAACAAGTAGATGTTATTTGCTTTGAGACAATTAAAAAGGATTTGAAATTCTCTTTCTCTGAGGGAGGTATTTCTAAAAAAACCCAACATTTTCTCAGGATACAGTGTTATAAGTTTTTTCTGTTTTCAAGCTACAATAAAGTACTTACTGCTTCACATTATCTTTATTTGTATTTGCTTGTGCTTACACATTCTACACTGTTTCGGATAAATGGATTTCACCAAGATGAATGAAACCCCTCACAAGAATTGCATTTCACTACAGTACTTATGATGTCCGTTCTAGATGGTATCTGGCTTCAATTTCCTGATCTTGAACTCTTTCCCTGCTGATTTCATTGTTACCTACTTTGAGTCACATTCACATCACACTGTATAGCTGGCCCCTCCTTTTCTTGGGAACGTGGCTGACATTAGCTATTACAGATGCAGTGGGGAACAATTCCCTCTTTTTATGTGCATTGCTATCTTCTATCATAAACTTACCCATTTTCATACCCTAACAGGGCATATATATGTGAAAAACATGAGGCAAAGAGTCAGGCTCCTTCTTATGGTTGTGTGCCCACCCACTCTTAAATACCTCACTGGTCACATATCCCTTGAATCTATTTCAATCTGCAAAAATACACTTACTAGTATGAAAGCTCTATTTTATTACATGTAGACTCTTCAAATACAAAGACTTAGAGATTTTCACAGCATAAGCAATAAAATTATACAATGTAATTGTAATATTACATTTTTAAACAAGAACGTTGACCTTAATTTTCAAATTTGTCTTTTGTTACCAGAAAATAAAGCAAATGGCACCAACATAATTTTGAAATTTCTGCCCCAAAAACTTACCTTTAAAAATATATATATTTGTGTCATCTCCTCACATAACATTTTAAATAGTTTCAGCTCAAACTATACATACACAGACACACAGTGACTGTTCCATATACAAATCTGCTGTATCTTATGTAAGGTAAGTTTAATACTTGAAACAATAAAAAAAATAAAAACAAGCAGCTTCAGAATAATTTGTAGAAATTATCAAAATATCTATTTTTATTTAGCTTTCAGCTCAACCATCTTAGAAATTAAGCAAAATTTTACACAGAATGAACATTTGTCTCCTTTGCCAGATGAAAAAGTTTGTATTGCTTGGTCCAGTCAATTAAGTTGGGTTTGAACATACCAAAGCAACTGCACTGAAAAAAGTCTGCAAGATTCTGGAAGCATCCAAGGCTGAAAAAAAAAAGAAGAATATGCATTCATAAACCTCAGAAAAGAAGAATACAAACATGAAAAATACCACTTCACCATGAGACAGTACTTAAGATATTAACCTGTCAAGACAGACAGCTCAGGGAGAAGAAACAGAAGAGCTCTCAATTGGGCATTATTCCTTTGCTAAACTTTTACAAAACGTTTTACATTAACAAATGAGAGTAGATTAAGTTGAACTCAAATAATGCCCCACAGTTAGTAAGATCTCATCTAGTTAGTATACCTGAGGAGACAAGGAAACCTTCGTACCGATTTCTCTATTAATAGAGCTAAATACTGCAGGAGAAGTCAGCAAGGGACCAGTTCATACCTTAACTCTCTTTCTGATCCTACACAACAGACACAGAGACTCATGAACAAATTTTTGGACAGCACTCCCTCACCCCAAAAATAGTGGTTTTGAATTTATGAAGCAGTGAAGCAAATCAGTACTGAAGAGATAACATATTTAAAACACTCCATTAATACCCACTTGTAAGGAGTCCTCCTGAGTGAAACAGGGTGCTTAGAGGATTTTCTCTGTACCAGAAGATTCATTCTTTCATGTGAGGTCAACCCCAGGAACACAATCTGTTTGGAAAAAAAACCCGTAAGTAATGGTTACAACATGAACATCACAAATTAAAATCCTAGTGAGCAAAAGATACTAATAAGAAGGGAGTAGGGGGGAAGAGCCTGGACATATTTAACAAATAAGTAACCACTGCCATAACTAATGACTGAAAAGTATGCCTTTAAATGTCACTTGGGCTAAAACAGAACCTGTCAAGAAACAGCTTCCAGAGAAGGCAAGCTCAATTGGGATGTCTGTGAAGACTGTACTTTCACAGATGTCTGCAGAAGTATAAGACCTATCACAGTTAAGCACCAATCTCCTCAGATTTTTGTCTACATTCTACCACACAAAACGGTAGAAAAAGATACCTTGATCCACAATGACACTAAATGCCATAAAGCAGTATGTTTTCAAATCACTGTGTATGAACCACCGTAGTTAAACTGTAAATATCCTCCCTATCTTTTTCCAGCATGATATCCCACTGTCTTGGACACTGCAAAAATCTAGCAGTACATGTCTAAGATTGTGGAGCTTTTTGTTTTTTGGGGGTTTTTTACTGAACAAGATGTAAAACAAGCCCTTAGATCAGTGTGCTTAACACATATTGCAAAGACACCTCTTTCCTAAGAGCTGCTGAACAAGATGTTTTAAGACAGCTCTTCTCAATTTTGTTTGCATAGCCAAGCTTTTCTCTGAGAAAAACATAACCAAGAAATTTGACAGTCCTCAACAAGATAAAATCCAGGTCATTTATTTTTACAGTAGCAGTGGGATTTAATACAGTCTAATGACACATGGCTGAGCTCTGCCACAGAATTTTCAACTCAGGAATAATTGTGTTACTGAGCTTTCGTGCAGTTTTGGGGGCATTAATGCCAGTTCTATTAGTCAAATAGATTTCTTGTCTTTAAATACAACTTCTTATAGGCTTGGAATTTTGAGTAGTAAACCCAGAGCTCAGTTATAGGAATGATTTGCAGACAATGATTCTACTTCCAACAGAGAAATGCTGAGTGCACAAGCTGAACCTGTGAAACTTCAAGGTCTGCCCTGAGATTTAAGAGAAGCACATTGCTGCGACAGTAGTCAGGGAGAGCAGGCACAGAGTTTTTATGGGAGCACATCATCCAGGGAAGAGCTTTAATTTGACGAGAAGCATAAACTGAAGGAAAATATTACCTGATAAAGCTGAACAGTGAGCCACACAGAGGCCCACAGGGTGTGGAAACAAGCTACTGAGGAGATGTAGGAAACCCAGGGAGAGCAGGACACTGTCTGGGTGAAGTACATCCATGCTCCATCTTGATGGAAATTTGCTGCACAGTGGTTGGACCAATCTGACAAGACACACAATCAGTTAATTGTGTTTTTAAGCCCTTAAGAGCTGAGGAAAGATTATTTGTATGAAATTAATAATACATAGCAACATCCTCTAGAAATACCATGTTTCATTTACCCCGTTGCCACCTAAAAGCACCCACACAGATCTATGAGTGCTTGCTATTCTGGCTGCATAATCTTTACACTCTGTGTTCATGATCCACAGAAAAACATCCTTGTTTTTAAAGGTTGATGCTATAGTAGTTCATCCTCAGCAACTAAATTATAAGGGTTTTCCTCTCCTTTCCAATAAATTTTTTAATTTCACAAAGTAACAGTCCAGATTCATTAATGAGATAATATACTTTTTTCTCTTCAGAATTAAACTACTTTAAAACCAAAAAGAAATGTCTGCATTTAGTATGGATATTTCCAAATTAAAATAAAATCAATCAAGTTTTTGCAATAATGTATTTACAAACTTATTTTCTGTTACAGCAAAGGGGAACCAGATTAGAACCTGTCACCTGACTGTCTGCCACATGGCTTCCCTATTTCCTCTCTAACAAAAGTGCTTCCTGCTATTTCATTTTCCAATTGGTATCCCACAACAGCAGCATCTTTGTTCTTGCTCAACACAAATGGAATCAGGTATTTGACCAAAGACTCAGACAGGATGCATTTTCACTTAAGCTACATAGTAACATCACTGCTGAAATAAGGTATCACTTGCACGGGTTGCATTTGCTGGAAATGAAATGCTGAAAAATAAAGACCACACAGATTGATTTGAAAGCTAAATAAAACTAAATTCATGGATACATACACTGAAGAGTTCCATAAAGCAGCCAGACACCAGTCATTGTCAGGAAAAACAGGAACAACAGGTAGTAATAATGGTTCCCAATGCCTGAAATTGAGGGGAAAAAAAAAATTTAAAGCTGGACATTTTAAAATTCAGCAGTACTTGCATTTCTACTAAAGTTAGAGTCAAAACCATTTCTTATTTTAACCTCTGCCATCCACAAGAGAGCTTGGCAAGGCCGATCTCTCTCTCAACTTTGTCCTGTAAGCCATCCCAATTTATATAATAGAATTAGTTCTGATGAAGTCAACCAGGATTTGTCTCTCCTTCAGAGCATGCCTTCAGCTGTTTTAGACTGATGAGACCTAATTAAGCAACCACAACTCCCTCCCATGCACAATAAAATTGTCTCGTATACCGAGAAGTCTAAGCTATTCAATTTGCTGGATGTTGTGTGCTTCAGAATTGAAAACATACACGTAAAAAACCCTAGACCTCTGTCAGAAAAATTGTTACATGAAGATATTTTTTTTAAAATTACAATTATACTGCTCAAAGCTTTGAGACAACACATCAGAAGGATGTCTCAGCACCTTGTAAATAGCAAACATTACAAAAAATAGCATTTAACACTAGGAAAAAGGCTGTTGGCAAAAAAAAAAAAAAAAAAAAAAGTGAAAAATGTATTGTTACAAATGTGAAGCTCTCACCTTCCTATCTTGAATATCACCAGTAATAAGCCAGAAAGGAAGAGAGAGGGTGAGAGGGAAGAACAGAAGATGGAAATGCCCTGGAGGATTATCTCAGTGGTAGAGCTGCTCCACTCAGAACTGTCCCTAACAGCGACAAGGGGCAAAGGAAGTTCAGGAAGACATACGAGTCCAGCCAGCTCCTGCACTTCATTCTCCTCATCCACAGCTACTGCATTAAAATGTCAGACTGTGCACACTTGTCTGGTTCTTTCAGCATCTACTCCTGGACAGATTGTCCAAAAAAGTTTGTCTAATCCCTTTCTGAACCTGCTGACATTGCCTGTGTCTGCAAACCCTTACAGCAGGAAGCTCCAAAATTTCCCTGCCTGCCATGTGGAGACATATTTCCTCTACCCATTTTAAATCCCTAGTTCTACTATGACATTCTGCATTCACTTTAGCTACCATCTTCATTTTTTTCTTTCCTTTTCTAAAGTCTCAATCATA